CCGACGTGGAGGGCTCTCCAAGTTTTTTCGCACCTATGGCGGATGGGGTCAGTGGTTTCTTGCTGGTGGAATCCTCTGTCTTAGGTATGTTGCTTCTTGTCCTCCACCCTTTTACGAATCAAATAAATATATGTATATATCGTCAAATATATGTATATATTGTCAAATATATGTATATATATCGTCAAACAGAGCTGCCCGGTAAACCGTAGGCAGAGAGGGAGAAGAGGACAACAAATGAGGGCCTGTGACAAACTGTTCCGTCGGAGTTTATATATGTATATGTGGAAGTGTGCCGCTTCGGCGGCAGACGGGTGTGTGGGTACTTGGCGCTGTGGCGCTGAACCACACAAACATGGCCAACCTTGCATTTTCTATTATATAATTTATATTGTCTATCTGTACATTTTCATTATGGATGGTTTGTTATTATGATTTGTGGAGGAAATGAGAGAGAGAAAAATTGGGGTGCTTTAACAAACACACATCCCATTCTGTTGTCACGCAGCTACAGTACAGTTAGCATGCACACAGCATACTCTGCTCCGGACACTATGATGGGATGGTCACTTGCGACCATCTGCGAGGACAACTGCAACCCTTTGTCTTGTACTCATCTCTGTCACCCCCTGTTAGTATTAGTATGCTGTTGTGGTCTTGACGTGCCATGCCTTAATAGCTTTGAGCGTCTCAACGTCAGCCTGCTTTCGTGCTGACATGTCAGCAAAATGCCATGTGTTGTCAATGGGTTTCCAGGAAGCTGTCATAGAAAGTATGTGTCTCTACCGCATGGACTATCCCCGATGCCATCATCGGCCATATCCTCTCTTAACATGTCCCACATGCAATGTTGGGCATGCAGCTGCTGCAATTGCAGTCGGATGTGCTTCATCCTTGCCAGGTGGGCGACAGATGTAGCAGCCTGAGGAGGAAAACAGACCACCATATGAACCACCTACAGAGCGCTGTACTGAAACTTGAAGGTTATCACCACCACGGCGAGCTGTTGGAGACCAAATCCTGCAGCAGCTAAACACCCTGGCTTTGGATCAATCCCCGCCGTTGTCGTCTGCCCATAGAAAGGGAATAAATACCGGGGAAACCTGCTCAATGCCGCTCTGAGATGACCCACCTGAGATTCAGCTGGCATGTGGTTCACATGCCTTGTGCCGTGAGGATTATGAAGGGATAGCCCGCACAAGTTTCTGTTTTCATATGTATGATGACAGTCAATACTGTACGCATGTACGGCACCATGAAATATCGTGTCCAATTTGTAGACGGGAACTGGAACGGCAATGCCTCTACAACTGCGGTCGACGTGCCTGTGTTCCTAGCATGTAGGAGCAACGTGGCCTGTGACATCCGTCTATGCCGTGCCACTTGATGCAGCGACTGCGACTGCAACTGCGAGAACTGGACATGTGTGCTTCCACAGTCCACACCCGAATCAGTCGTGTCCGGTCTGTAGGGGTGGCCACTTACCATAGGCAACGGCTGCTCCTCGATTCAAAATCTTATGCAACCCAAACACTGACTGGCCTCATGTGCCATTCTAGAGTAGGCTGCTCCAGCGGTGAGTATTTAGAACCCTGTGAGATCTCCACCTCCTATTTTCTTTCTCCCTCCTCTTCTGCACTATAGCAAATGCATATGAATGAGCATCATTAAGAGAACAAACAAAATATGAGCTGAAGATCTGAGGGAAAATGAACATGAATATAACTCCCCCTTCACTCTGCATCCTCTTATAGTGTGCACGTGCGCCGTTATGGCACACAGGGATGTGAGCAGCTCGCGCTCAACCACAATCAACATGGCGAGCCTTGTACATGAGAGGCAAAGTAAAAGGGGAGCTGCAGGAACAAATGAAAGGGGCCCCTCAAAGAAAGCCAAAGTGAATACATTTAAGAAAGGGATTAAAATAGGGGCTGTCGTGGCGAAAATTCAAAACACACAGAGCCCTGACAGAACAACCGACAAACACTTAGGTACAACTCAGGCCTCGGCGCCTCCAGGTGGTAATATGTGAGCTGGGTGGTATTATGTGGGCTGGGTGATGCCATGTGTAAGGGGTGGTGGGCAGTGCCATGCAGGGTGGGCTATACCACGTGGACTTTATGGTCCAAACACACACTCGCCCACAAAACCCTAAACCCAAAAAACCCACACACACAGTTGATCCCGCTGCAATTCGGACTCAGGAGCTGTTTACTAACAGTTAGGTTTGTGCTACTCAGTTGGACACCTTCTTGTCTTTCTCCTTTCGGACATCTGATTCCACTGTACTTGGAACTTATGACCTGTCTACTAACAATTCGGTTTGCACTACTTATCTTCACGACTCAGGTGTGTACTTGTATTTGAGCAACTGTGCATGGGCTGCACATGGAAACGAGAAGAGTGCACGCCAAACTGCAATCCCACCTGCATCGGCCTGTCCCACCTCTCAACCGGGTCTTGCATGGGCCCATCATGCGAGACTCGGGATTCCCTTTATAAGGAGTAGAAATCGGTCTTATCTTGCGTTCTTCTTTCTCTTCCGTTCTTGGTCGCATTCCAACTTTTCTTTGAATTTCAATGAATCGCATTCTCTTCAGGTTGGGCTTCGCGTCAAGAATTGCTGGATCATAACAGACAGACAGACAGATAGATAGATAGATAGATAGATAGACAGATAGACAGATAGATAGATAGATAGATAGATAGATAGATAGATAGATAGATAGATAGATAGATAGATGTTCTCTCTCTCTCTCTCTCTCTCTCTCTCTCTCTCTCTCTCTCTCTCTCTCTCTCTCTCTCTCTCTCTCTCTCTCTCTC